CCCGCCACTCATTGACGCTGCTGCCTTCTCCCTTTCTTCTTTTTGTGTGAATATTTGTTGTGGGCGCACCGCATTAAAACCAAAAAAAAATATATATATATATATAAAGAGAACAAGCGATAAAGCAAAGAGACGAATACGCCCACATCGCACAACACAAGGAACCCCCCACCCCCCGTGCAGAGTCTTGGGGGTGATCGTGCACCCTGCCAGGCGGTTCTCCCTCTCTTCCCAAACTGCCTCCACGCACGGACGCAGACGTCGTCGCGCCGGCTGCACGGTGTTGGGGGCGCGGGCTCACTCCTCCGTGAGCGGCGGCACGCCAATCTCGCGCCAGTCCGCCAGGAGGTCTTCCTCTGGGCTGAGACCAAACGCGCCCGGGGCACCGCCGGCTGTTGCAGCAGCAGCACGTCGCGCCCCAGACCTGAGCGGCGCATTCGCCGGGAGCGTGAACCCAGCCGGGTCGTCGAAGTCAACGAGGAGCTTTAGTTTTGGGTGGTGGATCGTCAGCGTCGCGTCGGCCAGACACCACCGCCGGTGCACGTAGCGGGAGTCCTTTGACACCATCCTCGCGTCTTCACTGACTCTTCACACACGCATGCACACAGGAGGGAGAGAGCGAGAGAGAGAGGGAAAACAAAAAAAAAAACGAAAAAAGAATGAAAGACAGCACAATCCCCACACAAAAAAAAAGAAAGAAAGGAAAGTTTAAAATTTAGACGGATACGTCAGTGGGTGGGGNGGGGGGGGGGGGGGCGATGCAGGCGATGAGTTGCACAGCAACAGCAATAACCCAACCGTGCTTGACCAGTGCGTCTCACGCCACGAAGAGAAGTGAGTGGGCAACACGGATATAGAAACGCCGCACATTTACATTGCCTTCTTCCACCCACCCTTCCGTTTCACAACGAGACTCCACAGCAAAGAAAAGAAATCAAAAACAAAATCAAGGCATAACTCTCAGCTTTTCTCACTCCCCACACCCACTCCCATGAAGCACACTTCGCGGAGTGTGGCGCCACACGTTTATGCCCCTTTTCACCCTGCGGCTCCACAGCCCTTACACGCGAACCCAGCCAAGCACAGTACCCTCAACATCATGCACGCCCATCGTGCGCGTGGCCTCCTCCTCGTGCAGAAGCACAGTGCGTGAGTAGTGTCGTGGCACGGGTGTGCCGCTGCTGCTCATGCCACCTTGCGCCGCAGCGCCTACATCTACCCACTGCTTGTTGTCCCAGTTCTGCTCGGCGAGGTAGATGACGTAGTGCCTACCAGGAGTGCCCCTGTTCCCACTACTGTTCGACTGGTGCGCTATGTCCACTATCACGGCGACGTGCCCCCCCGGCAGGTTGTCGTCACTCGCGTAGACCAGCAGATCACCGACGCGTGGGCGGGAATACTCCCACTGAGACTTCTTGATTGCCTTGCTGATGTTGAGTTTGTCGCTGCCTCCGAGAATATTGGGGATTTTAATCAGCTTAGCGCGTTTTCCGCCAATATATGACGCCTCCTCAACACTCGTCCATATCTCCTCCGCGTTGTTGACCGACACAAACTCTACACCAGGACGTTTCGTGAGCAGCCAAAAGCGCCGCGCGTACTCCGTCGCCTTCCACTTTACGCCGCTATACACTCGCGAAGTCTTGACAAGGACGAAATGCTCCTCCACATTTTCATAGCCCCTGTTGCAATTACTAAAGGCCAACACGCCGTTGCTCTCCCCCAGGAATTGCCCAAAAGACGTGACGCAGTTCATTGGCACCGGCGGAGTGTTGTAATAAAACACAAATACGAAGAGGAGCACCAGCGACACGGTTGAGAGCAGAACAGCCACCCACTCGTAGTGGCAGTGGTCCTGCATCGTGAGGAACACGGGGTGAAGCGGCGAAGAGACGCGCTGCCAGAACGGCATCGCGTCGCACTCCTCGCGTGTCTGCAGCGTGTCCACGCTTACCGGCGCCGGGCGTGGGTGCAGCATCGGCGTGTGCTCCGTCGGGGGCGGGGCGGAGGCGGTCGTGGCATCTCTCTTCATGTGACGAGGAACTACTTCTTCTAATCACCCAGAAGTAAAAATAGCTTCGCTTGGATTCCTCTTGCTGCAAGAGAGACGAAGCGGAGCCAAAAAGAGGTCGCTGCCAAGCCCCGCACGATCCCCATCATCACCAAACACAACACCAACAACAAAACAAAACAAAATAATATGCACTCTTGACAAATGCAGTGAAGCAATTCAGCTACCCATCAGCCCACGCAACAAGACATCATCACCGAAGAAAGCAGCAAGGGAGCGAGAAACTCCTTTTACCTCAAACCATCAACGAAAGTTCAGCACTTGCTGCTTTACATCCCGTACCGCACCCATCCGGTAATCTTGATGTCGTCCTCGTCGGTGATGGTGTACGTCTTGGCATCGGCATCGTGGCGCATAGGGATCTCGCGCGAGTAGTTGTGGTGCGGGGCGGGCCACACGGTGTTCTCCCAGTTCTGCTCCGCCACCAGGACAGAGCCGCTCGTCACGTCAACAACGACGGCGACGTGCCCGAACGGAAAGTCCGTGCGCTGCTTTGGGTATATCAGCAGATCCCCAACACGTGGCGCCGATCCTCCAGTGTCGGCTGGCGCCCCGTTGGCGTACTTCAGCAGCGGCACCGTTGAACCATTCAGCAACTGCACAGTTGTCAGTGACCATATATCAGCGGCTGCGGTCACCAAGGAAAAGGTTGCGCCAACCGGGCTGCCGCGCATCATCCAGTACCGCCTCGCGTACTCAACGCATTGCCACTTTATCCCGCTGTTGCGCCTCATTGCGTCAATGTCACTATAAAGCTCTGTGGCAGGAGAAACAGACACCGCGTGGATTTCATTGGATATGCACGTTGTGCTGTTGCAGTTGCTATACGCGAACACACCGTTGTGAGCACCCAGAAGAACTCCAAATGTTGTGCTGCACATCGCGTGGCATCCGGCCTTGGAGTGACGGGGGCCCTCCACGTTGGTCCAGACGTGCCACTTAGCGCTGCGGACGGAATCCAAGAGCAGCAGGAACAGCAGACACCCGAGGCCTGCAAGAACACCACATATGCCGAACATCAACTTGCAGGACACTGGCGACGACAGGAACGATACACGGTGTCTACGCGTCATTTTTGGCCTTTTATTCGCATCCCGTGCTGGCATTCGAAATCCACCCCCCAAACCCAGTGAATACCGCTTTTGCTATGATACTTGCCCTATTGGATATATATATATATATATATATATA